TATGCATTTCGTTTTGTGATATTTAATAATTGCAGCTAACTTTCTCTTCTCCTTCACTTTGTGCTAAATTTTACTGCACATTATTGGTAAATACAAGAAGCAACAACAACTTAGCAAACCCAGACTATTTATGTAATTTTTTTTTTGGAATTCTAGCAAAATTATTCTTGACGAAGATGCTCGAGCAAAACAGATCGCTGCAGCTGAGCAAATCCTTAGCCTGCTCTGCCCGCAGGGTTTAAATTCCGTTACAGAAAACTGCTGCCCCAGCATGAATGCTGCATCCATTGTACTGTATGGAGCTAAGAAGGATTGAGAGTTTGATCAAAGTAGAGAGGAGATATATCTTCTCAAAATCTAATTTAGTTTTTGATTCTTCTTATACACAATTTATTTTAGAATCTTTCTGAAGTTAGTCCCTGCTCTCAATTCAACCGAAATTTGTGATACTTGCTCCAGTGGAATCAAAATATATATTGTCTGATTTTTATCTGGAATCCATTGTCGCACTTTGAAGTATCATTTATATTTCTTTTTAATGAGAATGAAAGGTTTCTTGGAGCTACTCAAATCCTTGTGGTTTCAAAAACTTAAAATCATTCCAATTTTCTAAAGACTGCATAGCTGTTGTTATATGAGATATATTTCACTAGTGAAATTTATTGTTATCTTAAGTTTTAGAAAAAAATTACATACATTCCACACAATTCTTATATGTTTACATATGTGATTCCCAATGTTTTGAATGTGATTGAAATAAGATTTGAACAACGTTCGATTAAAGTTCGAAGAAGATTCAAACATGATTTTAACATTACTCGATCATTGATGGAATAAAGCTTGAAAAAAGTTTTACCATGGTTGGAGCAACGTACGGACATTATTTAAGTATTGTTTGAGCATGATTTGAATATGGTTCAACTTTTATTATTTTGCCCTTTTTTTTTTTTTGAATTAACATGTTCGAGTTATTTTACCATGGATATAAATATTTGCCCCCTAATCATACTCATTACATATAAAGTTGGGTATAATAAATATGCTATTAGATAACGTGAGGTTAGTAATATTATTTTTGAGGTTAAAACACCCCATTTGATAAGTTCTTCAAGTGTCTTAAACTGTAATTCTGTAGGACTCTGATTCATCATTTGTTATTGGCGATGATTGATGATGATGAGAATAAGTTATATTACATTGTATTTGATATTTAAGACAACCACACAATATTTGTTCTTACTAATTTGTACTGATCATTGGGCTAGGTTATGCATTTCGTTTTGTGATATTTAATAATTGCAGATAACTTCCTCTTCTCCTTTACTTTGTGCTAAATTTTACGGCACATTATTGGTAAATACAAGAAGCAAGAATAACTTAGCAAACCCATACTATTTATGTAATTTTTTTCTTGGAATTCTAGCAAAATTATTCTTGACGAAGATGCTCGAGCAAAACAGATCGCTGCAGCTGAGCAAATCCTTAGCCTGCTCTGCCCGCAGGGTTTAAATTCCGTTACAGAAAACTGCTGCCCCAGCATGAATGCTGCATCCATTGTACTGTATGGAGCTAAGAAGGATTGAGAGTTTGATCAAAGTAGAGAGGAGATATATCTTCTCAAAATCTAATTTAGTTTTTGATTCTTCTTATACACAATTTATTTTAGAATCTTTCTGAAGTTAGTCCCTGCTCTCAATTCAACCGAAATTTGTGATACTTGCTCCAGTGGAATCAAAATATATATTGTCAGATTTTTATCTGGAATCCATTGTTGCACTTCAAAGTAGCATATATATTTCTTTTTAATGAAAATGAAAGGTATCTTGGAGCTACTCAAATCCTTGTGCTTTCAGAAACTTAAAATCATTCTAATTTTCTAAAGACTGCATGCCTGTTGTTATATGAGATATGTTTCACTAGTGAAATTTATTGTTATCTTAAGTTCTAGAAAAATTTACATACATTCTACACAATTCTTATATGTTTACATATGTGATTCCCAATGTTTTGAATGTGATTGAAATAAGATTTGAACAACGTTCGATTAAAGTTCGAAGAAGATTCAAACATGATTTTAACATTACTCGATCATTGATGGAATAAAGCTTGAAAAAAGTTTTACCATGGTTGGAGCAACGTACGGACATTATTTAAGTATTGTTTGAGCATGATTTGAATATGGTTCAACTTTTATTATTTTGCCCTTTTTATTTTATTTTTTTTGAATTAACTTGTTCGAGTTATTTTATCATGTATATAAATATTATAAAGTTGGGTATAATAAATATGTTATTAGATAAATTGAGGTTAATAATATTATTTTTGAGGTTAAAACACCCCATTTGATAAGTTCTTCAAATGTCTTAAAGTTCTGTAGGACTGATTCATCATTTGTTATTGGTGATGGTTAATGATGATGAAAATAAGTTATATTACATTGTATTCAATATTTAAGACAACCACGCAATATTTGGTGTTACTAATTTGTACTAATCATTGGGTTAGCGTTTAAATAACACTAACTTGAGGAGGAATTTGATAAGTTGAGCAAAATAAGTAGGCTGTTAGATAATTACCTGGGCGGGTAAAAAAATATACTTAGGAATTCAATCCTAAGTAGAGCATTTTGGTGTGAACTAAGAAGAATGATACTTAGAAACGTGGGTTATGTATATATATATTTTTTTTGGTGTCGTTCTTGACCATGATAAATGTAATGTTATTTTTATTGACACATTTAAATTGGTTGAAGATGAGAAAGTATTTTTTGCGTACTCATGATTATAGAGGTGTAAATACGTCGAGATCGAGTGAGTCCGTTGCTTGTTTGTGCTTGGTTGGCTTGAAAATTTTTTATTCAAATTTGACTCGTGTTCGAAATGGCTTGTTTGATCTTAATTTGAATTTGTTTGTTCATTTCAGCTTGTGTTTGGTTCAAATTTAGCTTAGATAACTTAGAAAATAATAAATTTTAACAATTCTTTTTAAAAAAAAACAACATAAATTTAATATAAAAGGTTATAATAAATATTATTTTTAATAAATTAATTAATTCAAGTTTAAATTAATTAATTCAAGTTGAAGTGAGTCTAACGTAATTTAGCAGAAGTATGTTTGATTTCAGTTTGTTTATAAATTTGAGCATAAAAAAATTTTTCTTATTCAGCTCAGTTGCTTAAAGAACGGATTAAACATGAATTATTTAGCAAGTCGAATATGAGTTATTCGTAAATGATGAATTTTTTTATAGCCTCATACATGAAGTAGAATGCTATGTGGGAGAATATTGAGATGCGACTACTCTAAAGATAACAGTCTCCGACCATCTCAAAGCTGGGGAGGACGTGTGTAATTCCTTAGCAATAGAGCATTAATGTTGTCATCATAATTATACTCACATAGATGTATCAACTTTATAGTAAGATCTTTCAAGCCTATTAGAATACACTAGATTGTATTTATCATAAAGGATGTTGGAACAATGTTGATTTATTGTCATTCTAATTTCAAACTCATAAATGCTTAAGACTTAAGTTCATATAATTAATAAGAAAGAACAGAAGTACAAATCAAATAGGAGTGAGCTCACCCCTAGTTCTTAGCTACCGCGGTAAGGCGGATGGTACTTCGAAGTTGCTAAGAGTGGAGAAAAATGGGAGTGTTAGTGGTTTTTATACTCCATCATCCTCTCGTTGCTTTCATGGAGCTCTAATTGCCACTATATCACGAGGGTTCGAAGAAGGATAAGAGTTTCAATATATTTGTATGCCACAACCTCATTATTCCCTTCACGACTAGCTCTAATTTTGACTATATCGTGAGGGATCGGAGGATGAGGAGATATATAAGTGTTCCAGTGGGCTCTGTAGGGCACAACCTCATTATTCCCTTCACGACTAGCTCTAATCTTGACTATATCGCGAGGGATCGGAGGATGAGGAGATATATAAGAGTTCCAGTGGGCTCTGTAGGATAGTTCGGCTATTAGATGTCGATGCTTGTAGGGTAGTTCGGCTATGAGATGTCGATGCTCTAACCTTTGGCTCTTTTAATGGAGTGGAAAGGCAGTTCAATAACAAACAAATGGGAACAAAAAAGCTAAAGAATATCGTGGGGGTTCACACGAGCCCTTGAAATGGAAGGCATAAATGGGAAAGGAAAAAAAATTTGTATGAACTAATTGAGGGAATGGTGGAGAAGAAGAAAAAAAAAATTAAGATCTTAAAATTTTAAATTCATAAATGCTAAACATTTAAGTTCATAACAATTAATAAGATTGAATTAATAAGAAAAAATAGAAATAGAAATCAGAGAGGAATAAGCTCACTTTAGGTCTCCATTATGGTGGTTTGGAGGATACGTCAGTGAAGTTGATGAGAGGAGAAATATAAGAGTTTAAGTGCTTTCTATACGCCTCATTCCCTCGTTGCCTTCACGAATGGCTTTAATCATGACTGTATCACAAGGATTTCAGTGAAGAAGGATAGGAGTTCCAGTGGTCTCCGTATGCCACAATCATGTCATTCCCTTCACAACTAGCTCTATTCACGACTATATCACGAGGGTTCAGAGAAGGAGAAGAAAGGATTTTTGAGGGCTTTGAAGGGGAGTTCCGCTAGAAGTTGTCATAGTCCTGACCTTCGGCTCTCTTTAATAGAGCAAAGAGGTTGTTCGACAACAAACATTAAAGAAGAAAAAAGAAAAGAATATTATTGGAGAAGATTGGACGGGTCCTCGAAAAAGGAAGGCAACAATGAGAAAAAAAAAAGATTTATGTGATTTAACCGAGCGAAAGGTGAAGGGAAAAGGAAATGGAAAATTCAGATCATATAGTACAAGTGTAACAAGTAAAGTTAGGGGTTTGAAATGTAAATACATAGAAATTGGATGGTATGGATGTAAATGCCCCTAAAAATTATCAATGAAAGCCTCCTCTAAATCCTGCACATCCAAACATTTTAAGCAGATCGATAGAGCCGCCACTCTGCCGACGTTTTTCTCGCGCTCTTCCCCGTCGACCGTCGTGATCGGCGTCGGGGTGGCCATCAGTAGGGAATCTCCCTTCGACATCTTCGGTTTACAAACCTAAGCTGTAAGAAAACCCTCCGGGAAAACTTCCATGCCTTCTCTGATATGCTCCTTGCGGTCCTCTGGCGCCGCCGCTCCTTCTCTCCGGGCGGCACTGCGCCGCATGCGGCGGGAATCGGTGGAACGCGAGCTCGAGGGCTGCCAAATGGTGGCCGGACTCTGGTGCCACTGCCTTACTGTCCGCCAGATTCAGTGCCTCCGAGGAGCGCTGCCGAAATCCGCGAAGCTCGTCGTCGCCAAGAACACCCTTCTGGGAAAATCCACTGATGGCACTTCATGGGAATCTATCCGTTCTTGTGCCCGCGGTATGAACGCATGGCTCTTCGTCCGCTCCGAAGATGAAGTCGCCGCAGCACTCAAGGCCTGCCGCGACTTTCAGCGCCAATGGAAGCTGGATCTCAACGATTTCACTGGTGCTGTATTTCAAGGTCGCCTTTATGGGCCCCAGGACTTCGGTGTTCTGGAGACCTCACCTGCCAAAGCGGATTCCAATGCCTACCTTCTTGGCTCCCTCCAGCTACCTGCTGCCTCGCTGATCGGACTATTGCAGGCATTCCAGGAGAGTATTAGTTCTGCTGATGTGGCCGTTTCCTCTGCTGCTGGGGCTGATACCACCGGTTCTCCCGCTCCCGCTCCTGCATCTGATTAAATTGCAGTAAGTTAATCAGGCAGATGATTTTGTAGTTACGATTAACTTTATAAACTCATCACTTATTATTCGTTAATTGCTGTGCTGGTGCTGCAATGCCCTAAAAGAGGGTTAATTAAATAAATAGAGAATTATTTAACTATTGAAAATATTTTGCAATTTCTGTCTGCTGATGAGGTCACAAAGAAACTTGATTAACTGAAATTTTTTTGTGGAATATTTGAACTTTGTTAACCGCATTTTAGATCATTTTGCATTCGAATCATTTAAAATTTGGATACTGGGCAAATATCTGTTGATCTAGATGGCTAAAGTGGTTCTAACATGGATATAATTCATGGGCACAGTAGGAATATGCCAAGCTTCTGAATGAATGCATTTAGTGTGGGCAGGCATTCCCCATCTTACTGAAGGCCCTATGTCTGAATTATGGAAGTAGCCCACACGTTAAAGTAAGAGTAAGGTTTTGTATACTTCCGTTCCTCCCAATTCCAACATTCTGTGGGAGAATCATGCATTTGGTAGTCCATCCATGGATATAATTATCACTGATATTTGGAAAAAAGGTACCTAGATTTTTTAGTTGTGCAACATATATAGCTTTAATGAAATACTTTAATGGGAATGCTGGTGCAATGAATGAAGAGTTATCAAAGTTAAGTGTTTAAATTTAGTTGAAATAGCCAATGACAACTATGGATGATAGTAAATCAAATACTGGCTAAATTTCAATTGGTTTTGGTATCAAGGGTTGACTGGGAACACTGATAGCTATGTACATAGTAACTGGAATTAAAGCTGATTGATGGAGATTGATTTTGCTTAAGACATGTATGTACAAACTTACAAAGAAAGAATATTTATGTGGTATGGATTTGACTTCAGAAAATCAGGGTAAAAATTATAAAGTTCATTGTTTCAAAAATAAGAATGTTTGGATGAAGCATAGTAAATCTATGAAGCAGAATAAGATAAACCCATTATTTTTTAAATGTTTTTGAGTATAAACCATCAGATTTGGGGGTGTAATGAAGAACTTGAGTATTTCGATGCCAAACTAATTTAAATAGTTTATCATATATAGTTCTGTCGAGATGTGTCTAAGATGGAAATAAGATTGGGAGAATTAATTCTAATTCCCTTAATTAAGGGAACTAGAATTAATTGGTAATCCCCTAAATTGAGGGAATTAAAATTAATTTGTAAGCCCCTTAATTAAAATAATTATGATTAATTAGTAATCCCTTAAATTGAGGGAATTAGAATTAATTTGTAATCCCTTAAATTAAGGGAATTAGTGAAATAGTTTCCTAGTTGAAATAGTTTCCAAGGGAATTAGTGAAATAGTTTCCTAGTTTTTTCTACTTGTAATATAATACCTAATACCTTGTATTATCAATTCAAAGAAGTAAGTGAAATACCAAATTATTTCTCTGATTTCCCACATGGTATCAGAGTCATGGCTCAAACCCTAAAGGACACCGCCGCCTGTTGCCTCCATTCGATCCTTTCCGCATAGGGTCATTCGGCTCTCCTCCGCTATTCACCTCTAGGGTTGCTTGCAGCCATTTGATTCTTTTCCGCTGCTCTCGAGGAAGATCGTCAAGAAGCGCGTAAAGAAGCAGATCTTGCGATCGCTCTGAGGATTCTTTTGTCGCTGAACCACTGAATCCTTTGCTGCTGAGCCGCTTCTTTGCTGCTGATTCTTTTATTCGCTGTCTTAATTGATGCGATTCTTTTACCGTTGCAGTCAATGATTCCAACCGTAATTGCTGCGAATTTCTCTTCTCCACCATGTCAACGTCCGAAACCACTGTCTCCAGCAATTCCAACCCTTCCGAAGAATTCAATGTTGTTCAGAAAATTGGAGAGTTGCAGAATATTCGGGCATCCAACAGGTTCAATGGGAAGAACTATCTCAAATGGTCCCAAATTATCCGCACATACCTAAAGGGCAAAGGGAGGCTTAATCACTTACTTGGAACCGGACTAGGAAAAAGAGATCCGGCCTCTACAGCATGGGAAGAGGAGGATTCCATGATCATGTCCTGGCTATGGGATTCCATGGACCCAACGATCAGTGACACTTGCATGTTCTTGAATACCGCACAGGAAATCTGGGACTATATCAACCGCACATACTCGATGGCCCGTGATGCTGCCCTTGTGTATGAAATCAAGGCAAAAATCGGAGCCACCAAACAAAGAGACAAATCTGTCACAGAGTATGCAACTCTGTTGCAAAATCTTTGGCAGAAATTGGATCACTATCGAGTAATTGAGATGAAATGCCCTGATGATGCTGCCACTTTGAAGAAGTTCATTGAGAATGGTCGGATATATGATTTTTTGGCAGGATTGAATTTTGAATTTGATCAAGTTAGGATCCAAATTCTCGGCAAGGAGGATACACCGTCTTTAGAAGAGACAATCTCATTAATCCGAGCAGAAGAAGAAAGCGCGTCATGCTTGAACCACATACTATGGATGGGTCAGCGTTAGCAGCAAAAACAAATCAGGAGAAGTCTAAGAGTAATCTGCTTAAACACTCGGGTAGAGATAACCCAGAGAAGGAGAACAAAGACAATTTGTGGTGTACTTATTGCAAGAAACCAAGGCATACAAGGGAAAAGTGTTGGAAGCTGAATGGTAAACCTCCAAGCCGAGAATGGGGCAACCGTGGGGGGCAACAAAGGCCTCAAGCGCATATGGCAGAGCAACCCAATATTGAGAAAAATTCAGCAATAGGGGAGTTCATCAGTGAAGAGATTGAGAAATTGAGAAGCTTGTTGGGATCTCTTGAGAAGCCTTCTGGAGCATGTTCGATAGCTCTTTCAGCTAAAACTGTTTGCATGAATGTCTTAGACAAATTCTATACCAACTCTTGGATCATAGACTCCGGTCCTACTAACCATATGACCCCCACATCTCAACTCTTCCACGCCTATACCCCATGTCCAAGTAATAGAAAAATTATCATGGCCAATGACTCTTTAGCTATCGTTGCAGGGATTGGTGATATACATATCACACCTAGTCTTATCCTTAAAAACGTTTTTCATGTACATAAACTGTCAACAAGCCATGTGTCCATCCAAAAATTGACTCATGATCTCAAATGTTATGCTGTTTTTTCCCTTCTTATTGTGTTTTTCAGAAACAGGACTCGGGGAGGGGGATTGAACTTGCTAAGGAAAGGAGCGGTTTTTACCACCTTGAACCATCCCAGAAAATTAGGAGCAATTTGTCTTCATCTTTCCTTAGTTCCTCGAACAAAGATGTTATTTGACTGTATCACTTACGTCTTGGTCATCCCTCTTTTGGGTATCTAAATATAATGTTTCCTCATTTATTACAAGGATTAGATATTTCTGAGTTTCATTGTGACATTTGTGAATTGGCAAAACATAC